TTGGTGGATATTTTATCATCAGACGAGATAGATTAGACCGAAAATCAATATCTGATTAATTGAGAGTGAGGGTTAAAAAAATGATACTCAGGATAACGTATCAACTACGGATGTAAACTAAATCTTCTGAATTATGGCTTGTTTTGAGATACAACTATAATATATAAATAAAAAATTTTATGTTTTAGGTGAAATTGGTAAAGGATGTTGTTCAGCATTACGTGGTATGGGTTGTTTTGTTTTTGTAACAGAAATTGATCCAATATGTGCATTACAAGCATGGTAAATCTTCAATATATATATATATAATATTATAATAATGTTTTTCTTTTCTTTTAAATTAGTATGGAAGGATATAAAGTTGTTCGTCTTGAAGAAGTTATTAAACAAGTTGATATTATTGTTACAGCATCTGGAAGTAAATATACAATAACAAGAGATTCATTAGATAAAATGAAAAATGGAGCAATTGTTTGTAATATGGGACATTCAAATACAGAAATTGATATTGTATGTATTTGTTTTTTTCTATTAAAAATAATTTTTATTTTTTAATAATAGAGTTTTTTACGTCATCCATCATCAAGTGATTTACAAGTTGAACATGTTCGAACAAATGTTGATCATGTTATATGGCCAAATGGTAAACGTATTGTATTAATTGCTGAGGTAGATATTTAGATTTTCTTTTTGTTGTTGTTTGAATAGAAAAATTTTATTTTTTTTGTTTTCATAGGGTCGTATTATGAATTTATGTTGTTCAAGTGTTCCATCATTTGTTGTTTCAATTACAGCAGCAACACAAGTATAATTAACAAAAAAAAAAGGAATAAATTAAAATTTCTTATTTGGTTTTTTTTTATGAAAATGAATCTTTAGGCTTTAGCTTTAATTGAACTTTATAATGCACCAGCAAATCGATATAAATGTGATGTTTATTTATTACCAAAAAAAATGGGTATGAATTAATTATTTAGTTTATATTTTTTTGTTTTTTTTTTTTGTTTTTTAGATGAATATGTAGCAAGTCTACATTTACCTGCATTCGATGCTCATCTAACAGAATTAACAGATGAACAATGCAAATATTTGGGTATTAATAAAGCTGGTCCGTTTAAACCAAATTATTACAGGTTTGAAATATTTCTTTTCTTTTTATTTAAATTTATTTTTATGTTTGTTTAGATACTAATGATTTTAATCATGGAATTCAACAGCAATGTTTCTTTCTTTCTTTTTTTTTCTCGTTTGGTTAAATATGAAATCATTCTTTGTATTCTATAGATTAAACTAATTCATTGTAGAATATTTTTGAAAAAGAAAAAAATATTGGTGAGATTATATTGTATTTTGAAATAATGATTTGTCAATAATGTAATTGAAAATATGAATATATATGCATATACAAGATAAATTTATGTAGGGTTATATAATTTATTAAGAAAATATGAAAGATTAAGGTTTAAATTAATTTTGTTTATGGATATATTTATTTTAATGTGTCTTGATTTGTTCATTGATTATAAAATAATTATGAATATTTCTCATGATCTTCAATACTGAAAAATATTTGATGAATATTCAATCGGAGTGACAAAAGAAAGTTGGTTTTTTTTTTTTGATTTCATTGAAGACAACTAACACTATGTGATTTCTATTTCAATGGATTCGTCTTATTTCTAGCAATTATCATCGAAATTTTTTCTTTTTGTAGTAAAACTCACTTTGTTAACACAAGACCTTCCTGAAAAAATAATGACTTAGTCATAATAGTTACGTTGTTCAGCACGTTTACAGTTAAGGTATTGTGTTCAAACTCTGGTACCACTAGTCACGATGTAAGACCCTGAACAATTCACGAACGGCTGTTTGTTTCGAATCACTCATCTAATAGTACGCTAACTAAATTGTGACATATATCTGCCGTTGTTACTAGCTGGTATATATGGAGAGTCCAAGCGATGGAGCACAAAGACTCTGCATCATACTCGCCTTCTGTTCAAACCTACAGCTATTATTAACTGAAGGAAAGATATGGAGATGATGAATCTGCGACTAAATAGCATTCTATATTAAGTTAGCCGAATGGCAGGGATATTTGTCCTTACTAACAGATTATCAAAAAGTGTTTTGACGAAATTGAAATTCATATTTGTTTTATTTCATTGAACTGATTTGTGTTTGAAAGTCGTTTTTTACCATTTGGCACATCATTAATATTGAGTTTTTTTTAATAAGCTCTTCTTTTCAACTATTATTCTAGTTTTATCGCTCAATCTACATCATACACTATATCGAAAATACATTGTACAACAAATTTGTATAGGCTAGACTTTTTCGAACATTTATTCAATTGAACTATTTTTATATGAATATGAAATCATTGATGTTATTTCATTGGAGATGAAAGTGAAGTCTCTATTCCATCTACATTCATACCTCCGATTACTACGTAGATATGTTTTCTCATTGGATTCATAGATCGTATATTTTTGTATAACAAAAGCCTGTCAATGTAGACTCTTTGGAACTAATATGAAGAATACAAACGTGGTCTTTTAGCCTTGATATACTCATATAAAATATGTTAAGTGAAAAATTTCTAGCAGATGATATCTGTTTCTCAAGGATGATTGATTACCAGAAGAACAATCTGTTTTATGTATTCTTGCATTTCGAACAGAAGTTCTTTTTTTTTCTTTTGTTTGCCTTTGATTAATATTTACTTGTAATTTTTTTTTTTTTCGTATTCTGTTTTTTCTTTATTTAACATTATTATTTTAAATATTGATTTAACTGACAAATAAACCTTTTATACATATACATTATATTTATAAATCTCAATAACCTCATAAACACTATATCATTGACTATTTCATAAAGTTACAAATTTATCAATTTATACCTTTTTTTTTTTATTGATCATAAAACAACTGTGATCAATCATTACACATGATCTAAGGTATTTTGCATAGAAGTTTTTATTTGTGATAACAAAAACTTAAGACATTATTTAAAGCGTATTGTAATCATTCAAGTTCCCATGAAGGCTTTGGAATGATTGCGAATTTTCTAGAAAATTCTAAGCCTTGTTGTTAAATGTCATTGAGTGCCTTTGTCGATTGGTAAAGAACATTGAAAAAGTAGTCAGACGCCTATTATCTTTGACCGATATGGAAACGTAACTAATAGTCGTTAAACTTTCTTCTCTTTCTTGTTGTTATTAGAAGAAGAACTGTAAAACCTTGACTGAAACCTTATTAATATTTTTCTTCGAAGAATCATAAATTTTGATTCTGTTAAAAAAATATTCCTATCACACATTATTTTAGAAGTAGAAGGATTTAAATAATTAATATTTGTTTTTCTTTTTTTTTTGTTCATGTTGATTAAAAAAAAAAAATATTCATATTGATATTGAATGTAATTTAATCGTTTATACACTAAAATATTTTTCTTTTTGTCTCTAAAGAGATGATTATATTATTTTTTTTATAAGAAAAATATTTATAAATACTTTCCTTGACACTTCTAATATCTTTTTCTTTTTTTCTGCATATTTTTCTTACTATATATTTATTTATATAATACTCAATATATTACATCAATTGATCTACGAGTCAAATAGAAATCGATTATCAATATGAAAAAAGTACAAATTGAACTATATTCATTTCTATTACAGATTTTAATTGTTAAAAGAAAAAATTGAAAAATATGATATGCAATGAAATTTATTCAGGTATAAAGTTTATTCAATATTTATTTAAGGATCTTAAACGTCAAATATATTTTTTTTGAAGTATTACATATATATACATTGATCACTTTGTATGAAATTACTGAAGCTTATGTTGAAATAATCTATGAATCGAAATTAAAAGGAAAAAGTTTTTTTCTTTTTTAATCTTATTCATACGATATGATTACACTCAAATAATTCATATAGAATTACAAAAAGAAAATTTATTCAATTCAAAATTGTTTAGAAAGATAATCTTACACTTGAGAAAGATATAGTATTATTCATAATACTTTTCTTTTTTTTTTTGTCACCTACATATAAAACAAAAAATGTATCTATTTAAAATATATTTTGATTTGACAAAAGATTTTTACGTTTATTATTAATCTAGATTTTTTCTTCCATTCTGTCTATTAATAATATATTAGGTAATATCAATCAAATTCTACTATTCTTTTTTAATATAAAAAAAATATTTACATGTCATATTTACTTGTTATAAAATTCAACTTATGAGAATATTGATAATTATCTCCTGTCAAGATTATATAACTTAAAATGAAATTCATTTTTATTAGATCATCAAGTATGAACATCAATAAAAAAATTTTAAAAAAATTATCAAATTGTCTGACATCATAACTAATTGATGATAATTAAAATCTAATAACATAATGAATCGTTCTTTTTTTTTTTCTGTATATCTCTTTCTAAACTAACCTTGAATACTAAGTATACATATATATGTATACCTACATATAAATATATATACAAAAAAAAAAACCGCTTCTGTTCTGTAATTTTGTTATTCTCGTTCTTCTTTTCTCTTTTTTGTCGTAGGTCTCTGAATGTATTCCTCGCACAATAGAGGCAAATATGAATACACTTCAATGCATGCATAGTTATGGCACGATCGAGCGTAGTCGATGATGAAGGAGCATGGCTCTTTTTTTCTTGCCTTGCGACCACTTTTTCTTTTTTTCTCTCTATAGCAACATCTTTTTTTTTTCCTCGTCCTATACGGAAAAGAAAAGCAACGTCAAATAAGTTGTAAACTACAACGAATAAGAAACGTGAGTTTGTCTAGAGATAGAATATAGAGATGAGTAAGACTTTCTTGTTTTCTTTTCCATATTTTATTTGTAATATTGAATAAAATATTTTAACAATTGTTTTTTTTTTTATTTTATTTTAGAAGAATTGTTTTGTTTTTTTTTTTCTTCTTTAATCAATTAAAAAAGAAAAAAGAAAAAGAATGGTTGATTTACTGACTATTATTGCATTTGTACCAACAGTACTTTTATCACAATTAAGATCCGATGATGATGCATTTGATAAAGTGAATTATAAATATACTGTTGCTTTACTTGTTCTTTTTGCAACATTAACAGCAACAAAACAATTTGATGATGATAGAATTGAATGTTGGAATAGAGCAAATTTTATTAAACCATATATTGTATATACGAATCAAATATGTTATATATCATCAACATATTATGTTAACAGAAATAAAACCATACCTCACAATATACAAGAACGGTAAGAATATTTTAATATTGTTTTCTTTTTTTAACAGTAAAAAAAAAGAATTTACTAATTACTTCTATAGACAAAATCTAATATAATAAATACATATATTTCATATAACCACAAGGAGCATTTAAAATAATCAAAAAGATGTATGAGAATGTGTCATATATAAAAAAAAAAGCAATTTCATGCGTTGAGTTTCTTTCACAGTATCATAGAATTTAATTAGATTTCTATAGTTTTTCACAGACAAGGTCATTATTTTATAATATGCATCATTAAGGAGCTTTTAAAAATATAATCATATGAAAGTTGAAAATTAATGATGTATATAAGTCAGTTTTCTTTTTTCGCACTTATTCATCATGTATTTCTATCGTCTCTTATCTTATTCATTGAATGATTCTAACTTAACGCTTATATTCCATCACACTATTGCAAAGCATACAATCATATTATTGTTTTATAATATTACTTATTATAATAACTAATGCTATGACGTTTTTATGTACAAAATTAGATGTTTATTTTGAGTAAATTGTTATTTTTTTTTGTTATTATGATATGCTAACATGATTTTTATCAGTAGTACTAAAGTAATTGATCAATAGAATGATTTCTTTATTATTTTATTATATATTCATAGTAATTTAAAAGAAGTTATGTATTTGAATATCTTATTAAGATTCGCAGCGAGTATCATTCGATTGTTATGTATATATTTAACATGTTCTCATAGTTACTATTACTAATTATTCTCTTGTAAAAGTATGGCTTTTTTTTTCTTCTACTACATCGATATTTGTATGATTTCGAATGTTTTATATGTTTTCATGAGATTTTTTTTGTTCATTTTAAAATACATTTATAAATCAAATAGAATAACGGAAGTTTATATTCTGTTCAAATGTTGTTTGCAAAATTATAAAAGATTGAATTCAATCTTTTATAATTTTGCTTGAAAAAAACAATAGTGACATATATAAATCAATTTATTAAATCGAAAAGACAATATTTTAAGAAAAACAATCATGATATAATGAGGATATACAACAACTTTTTTTATACATTCAATTTATCGATTTCTAAAACCAACAAAATCTAAAACTTAAGTGTTGAATAATTTTTCTTTTAAAATTTAGTTAATACCAATTTTATATCACTTGTATATCTTTATAAGAAAAAAAAAGCTTTCCTGTGAAAGTTATGTTTATTTTCGTTTCAACGAATTATTGAAATGTTTTTTTCTTTAAGAACTATATATTCCAATATAATATAGTATTCATTGACTCAAGTTGTATAAGACCAATATATATGTATATTACGCAATTTTTTATTTCTTACAAAATAATAGGAAAAGCTATTAGTACAATCCTTGAGGGGATTAAAATGTAGAACGGAATGTAGCTGCTATTTATAATCATAAAGAAATTATTTGATATTTGTCTATTTTGGGACACATTTCTTCAGTAACCTCTTACTTAATCTTTAGCAGTACGATAAGGCCAGTAGGTCATATATTATAACAACTATATATTTCAACAATCCTTTAAGATCTTTTTTTTTTTGTTCAAAAAAAAAATATTCGAAAACTAATAGTACCTTCAAGGTGAAAAGGATTTTATATTTCTCTCTTTTATAAATGTATTTAATGAGTTTTCAATAGGAGAAAAAAAAACACTTTTAGCAGTTTTCATTGCCATCAAACACAATTGTTAAGTAAAGTAAATACAACATTTGGAATCGATATTAAAAGCTACATAAGTCAAATAAATTTTACACAAATTTTTTCCTATAAAATATTCACTTGTACTTTCTGATAGTTCATTTCATTAAAATTTTACTCTGTGGATCAATTTTTTGCAGATACTAACATAGTAGGTTATCGATACAGGGTGCATTGACTATACTCATATCCACGTTTGATGCATCATTAAAACATACTAACTCTATCAAAATATGTTCTTTCTGTAGTGGTGTGATCCAATGTCAGTGTACGTATGTAGTCCATGTTTACTAACTACACATCTCTAAATAATGCAAAGAGCATTTCATTTTCAATATATATTATGCGACATTATGAAGGTCAATTTATACTTGAGCTTTTTTTTTTTGCTTACGCTGTACTAGATACATACTTAACAATATTGTATAAATATGTATGACCTATAATAAAAAAAAAAAGAAAAAGTAATCATAGAAAAGAATCTACATTGAATATTTGAATGTAAGTATTAAATGTAAATTTCGGAAGTAGATGATCAAGATATGATTCACTTTTTATTATCCTAAACTCTAGAGATATATGTGAGTATCGATTATGAATATTATGATATTTCTTGTTTATTGTGTAAATTTTTTTTATAATGAATATCTTGATCATGAGTTAATTAAATTGCTTGATTATTTTACATATTTCATAGATTTATTGTTTATTTTTGTTTTTTGATTCATATAGAACAGATAGAAAATTAAATTATTATCAATGGACACCATTTATTATATTATTAATGGCATTATGTTTTCATATACCACGTTTAATATGGCGTACATTAAGTGTTCGTTCAGGTATTGATCTACTTGATATTGTTGAATCAGCTGATGATATGAAATCAATGAAAGAATTTGATGAACGTGAACATTTATTAAAACATATTGTTACTACAATTGATATGTATGTTGATGATGCACGTCGACAAGCTGATTCTGAAAATCGACAAGCATCATTATTTCGAAAACTTTTTCAATTACTTTGTTGTATGACTGGAAAATTTCTAGGCAATTATTTTATTACACTTTATATGTTTATTAAGTAGGTGAAATGTTTTTGTTATTTTTTTTTAATAAATAATTTCTATTTATTTTTAAAATAAGAATATATTATATATTTAATGTTATTTTACAAATATGTTTATTGAATATATTTCTTGGTACAAATTTTTTACAATTTGGTTATGAAAGTGTTAAATTATTTCGTTATGGACTTAATCAACCTGAATCAAAATATTTTCCTCGAGAAACATTCTGTGATTTTTATGTACGTGAACCATTACGTGGTGAACAACCATTACAAAGAATTACTGTTCAATGTGTATTAACTATTAATCTTTTTAATCAGGTAAACTAATCATAGTAAAATAGTGATTGTAAGTTTTTTTTTTCACTACAGAAAAGAATTTATTTAGATTTTTCGAAAAAAAAAAATAAAGATTTCTTCTATTTAATAGCATATATGTATTATCAAATTTTATAGAGAGAAGATTTCCAACGAGCCTACAGATACAAAATTTGGATGCTTTTTTTGAATATATGTTTATAACTTTTTGGATTACGGTTTATTCGAGAATATCTTTAGAAAGTCAAAAAAAAAAATTATTTTTCAACAAAATTTATGAACCAACGTTTCCAGTAAATATGTTTGTTCATTTTAGCTTGATTTAAAGTATAGATTATAGAAATTTTCAGTCGGATTCGAAATTTTTTAGTCAGTCAAAAACTATCGATTGCAATCAGATTATGAAAAGGTCTCAGAGTTTTATTTACTATAATGTAATGTATAATTATTTTGTTTTTGTTTTGTTATTCTAGCAAATCTTCACTTTACTTTGGATATGGTTTGTTTTTGTATTTTGTCTTAATGTATATTCTTTTGGAATATGGATTGGACGTTTAGCTGTATCTAAAAATCGATATAATTTTATACAATCTCGTCTTACACGTACATCACGTCCTGAAATTCCACGTTTTCGTTTTGATTTTAAACATGCTAAACGTGAACTTGGTGATTATGTACATGAACAACTTATACGATCATTTATATCAGTATATTTAGAAGCCGATGGATACTTTTTTATACGTATGTTAACAGTTAATGTATCTGATTTTGTTGTACAAGAAATAATTGAACAATTATGGACTTGTTATGTAATGAGATATGGTGAAAATGATGCTAAACTTGCTGAAAAATCTTTTTATGAATTTCGAAAAGAAGGAAAATATACATCAATAACTCATTTACATTTACCTTTATCAAATGTTATCGATGAACGTTTTGGTGCAACTGATGCTAAACGAAAATTTTTGAGACAATATTCTGATGTAACAGCAGAATTATTACAACCAACAGTTTCATATGATTCAAGCTCAACTCAAAATCAGAAACCACAAGTCTAGTCGCATTTTCTTTTTTTGCTGTGTCTTCGAAAAAAAAAACATACCATATAATTGTATAATAAATTATTTACAAAAAGACAAAATAGAATCAAAATATATTTCATCTATCATAGGTTTTCTGTTTTTAGAATAGATGACAGATTTCTTATTTTCTCGGAATATATTTACTATTGAACAAAATTGAATTAGATATTATATAAACAGAAGATATAAAATTCTAAACTTCGAAAATATATATGACTATGAAGTTGAAAACCTATTTCGTTACATCTGATTCATTCAATAATCGTTAATTCAGTGGCATACAGATACTGTAAAACAATTAAGTGAATCAGAGGCCTTATCGAACTGAATTTCACTGGTTCACGTTCGGTTCGAGTCGTTGTTATTGCCTAAAAAATCAGTTTGCATTTGTTTGTCGAGAATCTTTAGCTATTTTCTGAATCTTGACACTCGACTTATCGATGTTATGATATTCTTCATCAACTTTTATTAAGATTGTCAATAGAAATGAAAATGAACTTACTAACACCTTATTTGTTTTATCGACTTACCTAAAGAATTTTATTGTTAATTCAAAGCGAGAAATCTAATCTAAAATTTTAGAAATTGATTTGTATGGGATAAAATCTGAAATCTCTAACAAAAGTTTAAAAAAAAAACCTGACTCACTGAAATTATTAAATTTTCAGTCTGATTAAATCGAAAACAATATAATAAGGTTATTAACATCATTAGAAACGCTAGATATACTAAGACCAGTGTGGGAGTTAAAACTGTTTTTTGAAAAAGTTAAAAGTTGAGAAAATCGGAAAAAGTTAAAATGGTTATAACTCGAGTTATAACTTTCAACCATGGTTATAACTTTCAACCATAGTTATAACCTTCAACCGTATTTATAACTATCAACTGTAGTTATAACCGCAGTTATAACTACAGTTATAACTTTCAACCATAGTTATAACTATTAACTGTAGTTATAACTTTCAACTTCATTAACTTTCTTAATCTTTTGAGCAGAATTAATTAAATTGAAATGGTAATTACCTTGATTTATTGACATCTTTGATAGAATAGATAGAAATACATGGCTACTTCTTAATTGCGGACAAAATTTCAGCCCTCACCCACACTGTCGGCATGCTAATTGGTTTGATTTTCGTCCGCAATCAAGAAGACACGAAATACACATATATTTGCAATGTTCTTTAATTCAGAAAAGCAATGCTTTATAAATTCTTATTCAGTAATTTTAATGTATTCATCTACAAGCTACATTTTCTTCTATCTATACATCGAGCCTGAATGAGACAATTATTCTTTGTGAAGTAACATTAAGGATTCTTTTCTATGCTGACAGCTGCTAACAAAGCTTGGAATTACAACCGTTTTCACTGAAAATATAGTAGTCAAGCATATGTAGTTTCGAAATATAAATGTGTCTTTGAAACTTGAACAATAAAGTAAAACTAGTAAGAAGTTGCGATTGCTACGACTTCCAACCGTAGTTATGACTATCAACCATAGTTATAGTTAAAAATTCTATTAAATATAGTCAGTCTCAATATAGTCACTAATCAACATAACTCTTAGCACTGCTCGTAACTTTGAACTAATTAAAACTACTGGTCAAACGGAGGTCCATAAATAAGATATGCTTCCACAAACGTCAACATGACATCATTCATTTCTTTTTCCTGAATAATTTTACAACCGTTTCACCTTATGTTTCAGATAAAGAATATAATGATTGTATTTTCTTTTCTTTCAATCACCTATCTCCTTGTGCTCTTGTCATATTGATTTTCTTATTCTTCCATTTCTCTTCTTCGTTCAATTATATATAGACGTGGAAAAAGAAGGAAAAAGTAGAATGCGATACATACTCATATAAGTAGTAATGATTGTGTAAAAGTGAACAGAAAATAAGCTGATACAATGACTTCGAATTGAAATAAAACGTATGTAATTATCTTGACAGAGACTATTATCTTAGTTTCGTCACAACATGTATTGTAGATTATTACCACTATGTTAAAGAATTAAAATTAAAAATAGAGTTGTTTCTTTTTTTTAAATAGTATTCTCAGCTGTTCACAACTTAAGATTATAATTAATCATATAACGAAAAATATATTTATTTACGAGTATGTTCCGGGTCGATGTATAGATAGAAGAAAATGTAGCTTGTAGATGAATACATTAAAAATACTGAATAAGAATTTATAAAACATTGCTTTTCTGAATTAAAGAACATTGCAAATATATATATTTCTATCTATTCTATCAAAGATGTCAATAAATCAAGGTAATTACCATTTCAATTTAATTAATTCTGCTCAAAAGATTAAGAAAGTTAATGAAGTTGAAAGTTATAACTACAGTTAATAGTTATAACTATGGTTGAAAGTTATAACCATGGTTGATAGTTATAACTGAATTAACTTTTTGACCAAAAAGTTGATCGGTTATAACTCAAAAGTTATAACTCGAGTTATAACTCGGCTAGTTTTAACTCCCACACTGACTAAGACTATCATCAGTGCCAGACAACAAACTATTCAAATGCTTTTTTTTTCTTAATAACTCACGCGAAATGTAAGAAAGTGGCATGTAGATTTAAGCAACACAGAATCTTTGATAAACCATACTGTGTTCGTGAAGGAAAAGAGTTAAATGAATATCTGCACTCATTCCTATATTCTTAGATTAAGAGGTTCAATCGTTTTGTTTTTTTAGACGCTCAAAGATTTCTATATTGTTCAGTTGGACTCTTTAAAAAAGCATGAAAAGATAGATTATCGATCTTAATAAGTCTTATGACTATTTTAGTTTTTAAAATGATATGAGAAGCATATGAAATCCTATAATGAATCATCACATCTTAACAATCCATCAAATGTCTTCGAACTGCTTCAAGTAATCATAATCTACTCAATTTTTATATGGAACATACTGCTGTTAACTATAGTCAACAAAAGCTTTATAAATTAGTAATAAAATAATTTAATTTTTACAAAATTTTCCATAAATGTTTTTTTCTAAATTATAAATTTTTAACATAAATAACTAAACACTCGTTTAATTCACTTCTTGTAGAGTTCTGAAAAAAAGGTTTCAATAAAATTCCGAAATCAACTCGAAAGTCTTTTTTAAGCTTCGTTTGTTATTATGAAACCCTTGAAAAGATTTATGAAACATTTAACAAACGTTTTTAATGGCTTCGTAACTATTTATGAAACCTTTTAAACGACTTCGAGTTCGTTTCAATTCTCGAAATCTTTTTTAAATACTGTAATGCATCATTTTTTTTGCACACTATAGTCATGAGACTCAGTCTAGTCGATATTTTATCCTGAAAATGCTTGAGCATCAAATATCCTTGGAAAACAAGCTCTTCGAAATTTTTTCATGAAGGGTTTTCGCTTATGAAAAAGACGTCTGAAAATCTTGACAAATGATTATTGAAAAATTACATGGAATTATTTTGCATTTCGCCTCAATTATTCAAAAAATATTCGAGTTTCTTGACTTCTAGCACCTTGAGATCAGCGCACTCATGTTTTTGTAGACCCAAACCTTATTCAGACTCCAGTTTTTTTTTTTCTGTTAACATCCAATACAGTTTGCATACATGAATAAATTGAAGTATCAAAATTTTAGCTATTTATCAGTTACTCTGAGAAAAAAAATTAACGTACAGTTATTTCTTATTATTCATTCGATGTTTAATACATACAAAAGTTTTTGCTTCATCGAAATGAGCATTATATTAACAATAAAAGGAAATTATGAACAATTAATTGATAAACGAAATTCATCAAATCAAGAGTAGAATCAAAATTTGCAGCTGTACTGAATAGTTTTCGTTGTAATTATGTAAACGAGATCAAACAAGTAGGGATCTACGGATTTATGTGCTTGTGGACTCGGATCAGAACTCATCGAGCCAAAGAACTTCGGGACTCGGACCAGAACCCATTGAGCCCAAGAACTTCGGGACTCGGACCAGAACCCATTGAGCCCAAGAACTTCGGGACTCGGACTCGAGCCTAAGTCTAGAAGGATTCGCAGCTCTCTACTGGCATCGATTATAGTTAGTTACAAAGAAAATATCTTTTCACATGATATCTTTTTTTGAAAAGCTAGCATAATTACCGTCTTATTGTTTATTTAAATTTAATAGAATTAAAAAGCTTTCGATACCGAACATTATTTTCATTGCATGCAAAGATGTCGCTATGATACATAACTTCTAATTGAAATCGATGATTCATCTTACAGTATACATACAATGTGTTTGTTATGTCATGTCTGCTTATCTATCGCATGATTCGTTTCCACTTGTTTGTTGACGTAGTTATTTGCTTACCTATACTTGTCATGTCTTACCAATGATTGATCGATCAGGTGAGTAAAAAAGTTTTTCTTTTTTTTTTTTTTCTTTCATCTATTCAATACGCTGTTATTTAGTATATTTCTTGGGGTTATTATCCGTCAATGCGATAAGCATACTGGTGTTCTTTTTTTTAATTTTTATTATTCTAGATGAATGATCGAGACGATTTTGCTGAATTAGTTGGTACGAACAAAATTGTTTTTTTTTGTTTTGTTTTTGTAAATAAAATTTATTATATGATGATAGCTAGTGCACGAAATGTGACTAAATGTCCATCATTTTATTTTCATGGTCGTATTCGTTATGGAACAAAAGGTGAAAAAGTTGAAGAAAGATTTTTGGTAAAGCAAAAAAAAACAAAAGTCAATCATAGTTTAGAATTTATATTTTTTATTAAATTTTTAGTGTATGGATGCTGTTCGTGTATATATTTGTTCAGTAAAAATTCCTGTCAAAGTATAATAAATTATTAAATAAAAATAAAAATAATATTGATTATTTAGATTGAATCACAATTTAATATTCTATCAATTAAAGCAATAGAAAAATCAAGTGATTCACATGTAATTTATTGATTTGTTTTTTTTTTCTTTGCTATTGTTATATTTATATTAATAAATAAAAAATTTAGGTTATTATTGAAACAGATACCAAACAGATTCATGCATTATATGGTCTTCATGATAAAGCATCATTACAACCATTTCTTATTGTACTTATTCGAACTATACGTGCTGTTTTTCCACATAGATTACAAGCAATGTATGTATGAATTAATCACAATAATATTTAAGAAAAACAGTATCTAGTATGTTTCTTTGTTTATTTTTGTTAGTGTGGATATTCGTCCAGAGAATGAATATGATAGATTATTACGTTTATCAAATGAATATTTTGAAGATAAATCAAGTGATATTAATGTATGTGGAGGTTTTTCTATTCGTTATGAATGTGCTTGTGATTTTTATCAAAGTCAATATTATCGATCAGTACCAAGCGTAAGTTTTTAGTCTTTGAATTAATTGATAGTATATATTATCTATAGTTAAATAATCAAAAACATTTTCTAGAGTTGAAAAACAAATAATTATTAAAGAAAGAAAAAGTAACGTTGAGTTTTATTAGTTAACAAATACGACCGTCATGGGTTAATGATAAGAAAAAAACTGTTTTTTTTTTGTATTATTGGTAAAATGCATGATTTTGAAGTGATGTTTTGAAAAGAGTTATGGATGATAGAAAAAAAAATTTTTTTAATAATCATGAAAAGTAATTATTTGTAAAATCTATTGAACATTTACCATGTTTGAATAAATGTTCTAGTCATTAACTCATTTCATTTTTCATTAACAATGTCTTTATATTCAAAGAGATAGTAAATAAAATAATCTTTACTGTCATCATCTATCCTTTGCACATTTTCCCATTGTTATGATTGAATGCATGTTAATTTTGTAATGAATTTTGAATAAATATTTATTTAGCTTGTTGATACAGTATTTGCTCATCGTTTATCACGTGAATTTACATTTCATGAATTTGAATCACTTACACAAAAAGATTGGTTACCAATTATTGGTGCATTACGTCATAATGAATGGTTTAGAAAATTAACAGTTGAAAATATAAAATTGGTTTGTTAATTAAATTAAATATTTTTATTTTATCTATGCATTTTTCTTTTTTTTAAGTCATCGGAAAGTGTTGATGAACTTTGTATTGTCTTTCGTCTAAATAAAACAATCAAAGATCTACGTCTAGTTAATTGTAGTCTTAGACAGTAAAAAAAAAAACAAACACAATTTTTATTTTATTGTTTATTAAAAAAATAAAAATATTTTTATTTTGTAGGGATTTCTGTACACGATTTGTTAATTATCTAGCAATAACTTCTATTGAAAATTTTGATTTATCTAATAATACAATTGAAGATAAAGGTAGATTTATTATACTATTTGATTTCAGATATGTTTGTGAACTAAAATTAGACATAAGAATCTATATATAATGAATCGATATCTTAGCTAGTTTTTACTATTTTGATTATAAACATAATGAGATAAAGTTTTAATAATAAAATTCTTATAGATATTTATTCATTCAAATTTAATTAACATTAAATATATTGATTCGATGGTTTATCTTAAACTATAGATAATGATAAAAAAAAAACTAATGAATCGAATAAGACATATTTTTTAAATTGAATATAAATATGTCTGATCGAATCTCAATAGTCATTTGATATATTAATTAATCATAAATGACGTTTCATATACTTTTACGTTTTTTTTTGTTTATCAAAAAATCGTATCCTCTTATCATTCATTAGTCATCTAACTTTTATAATTAATATTAAGGTCATAAAATATATAAAAGTTTTGCTGTTTTCAGCTGAATATAAATGAAATATTTCTCTAGTTGTATTAGAAATGGAATTTGATTTTGAACTTCTCTATTCGGTTATAAGGAAAAATGTTTTTTCTTATTTTATCATGTTGTTAATAAATGATATTTACTTATAAATCTTGTTGGTTTTTTTTTTATTGAAGGTTTAAATGCTCTAAGTACAGCATTACAACAACGTAAATGTCCAATACGATCTTTTAATCTTCAATCATGTTCAGTAACACATAAAAGTTTATATAATTTTAATACAGCATTGATTAATAATAATTTTATAATAAAAAATCTTAAAATTCTTAATCTATCTGGAAATCGTATTAAAGAAGAAAATGTAAGTTATAATATTATATAAAGAAGAATTAAAAAATTTTGCTTTTTTTTTTTTGTTTTTAGTGTATTACACTTCTATTCTCTAATAATGAAAATGTATTAGAAGAATTACATTTAAGTGATATTGAATTTAGTCTCGAATCGGTAAATTAATATTAAACACGAGAATTTTATATTAATGTTTCTGTTTTGTTTTATAGTTTTTTCATTCATTAGCAACATTACCATGTAAACTTCATCGTTTATATATATCTTCAATAAAATCTTCTACACCATCATCAATATCAGGTGGTGTAAAATTATTTTTTACAAAAACTCAATCATTAGAAATTTTACAATTAACAAATGCTAATTTATCAATTGATTTTCTAAGGTTTGAAAAATAATTAATAATAAAAGAATTGTTTCTTTTTTGTTTATATATAGAGAATTATGTGATGGTCTTCATTCTAATATATATTTAAAAAATCTTAATCTATGTCTTTCGGGAAATCAACTTGAAGCATTTATTCGAGATTATGCACCTCGTTTTGCAGCTATTCCTTGTTTAAATGTACTTGATGTTAGTGGATGTGGTAAGAAAATTTTGTTTTTTCTTCTATCATAATAAAATAAAGACTATTCTCAGAAAACAATTTATAGTCTCAAGTTTTATAGAAGTCAATTAAAAAGTGTTAACTCAAATATTTAGAGTTAGGATTTTGGTTATGTTTAGTATGTCGAAGAAGAAATGAAAAACAAAAAAAAACACCCGTGAAAATTTGCCGATTTGGGTACAAGTATTTAACCCAAATAGTTGTATTTATGTTAATCATTAAAAAAAAAAATTTTTTTAGTATAAAATAATATCGATTTTCATTCCTATAATTTTATATAAATTAGCAATTTGAAAAAGTAAAAATATTTAGGATTGCTGGCTTGAATGTTGAATACTCAACTGAGTTGTAGAGTACTACCTCAAATCACGATGGAATCAGTGATTTATCTGCTGGGTGAGCGCCGCCCACCCGAAATTTCGACTCGCCCAGTCTGAAAACGAAACCTAGATAAAACACTGGATGGAATCACTAATGATGAGAGTAATAAGTTAGATTTAAGATGAGCCGTGTAATGAAGTTTCTTCATTTTCGACAGCTCCCGTGTGGCTTGTGACAAACAATTTTTATACATGTTAGAAAAATGAAATAATAACTAGTCTAAACAGTGTACCCAGATACACAATGTAATACAGGATCTATGCATGCCGAAGAAGAGATCTATTCAATAGTAAAAGAAATTAGATAAGAAACAGTTGAATTTTTCTTCTGCTGAGAAATCAATCATATAATTTATCCATGAACTTATAAATCCATATTACTATGAAAGAAAAATTTTTCACGCTAAGAAGTTTTCACCTAGACATTCATCTTCCTAGATTTTCTCTTATGCATTTTAATGAAACAAGTCGTTCAATTGAGAATTCGCTTTTGTATTGAAACTATATCAATTAATTGATCATCGTTATGTCTCTATAAACGAAATGATTTTATTTTCTATTTAGATTTGGATAGTGAAGTTGTAACATTATTAATTGAATTAAAAAAGAATCAAAAATTAAATTCACTTCATATCGGTAGAAATCTTAATAATATAAAAGCAAAGTAAAATCATAAAAAAATTCAATAAAATTAATGTTTGAACGTTTTTTTTTTTCTATTTTAGAAATCTGCCAAGAATAGTTAATGCAATGAAAGATTTTGTTTTTGATTGTGTAAATAAAAAAACAAAAAAAAAGAAATAATAAATTTAATTTTTGATATTCTAGAAACTTGAATATTTATCAATTGCTGATTCAAAATTAAGAGAAAATACAGCTGAAGTTCTTCTATCATTAATTAATAATATATCAATAAAAACTCTTGATATTCGGTAAAGAAATAAAAAAATAAAAACAAAAAGGACTAAATTATTTTCATAAAATTATATTATTATTATTTTTTATATTGTAAATAGAGGAAATTTAATGAGTGATGCTGGTGTACGTGTATTTACTCAAGTTATACAAATGAATCGTCATTTACGTACAATATTCTTCGATCGAAATGTTCTTTCATTGAATAATTTTGAAGATATTGTTAATGCTATGGAAGAGTATGTATTAGTTTTATTTTCATTAGTAATAAATCATTAAAAGATACTATTTACAAAAAAAAAAAACAACACTTATATAACTTCTTCATGATTAATAAAGTTTCGAAGTGTCTTCTGTTCAATGCCACTTAAATGAAGATTCTGAGAGCATTGATCATGAACCTCTAACACTGCTGAATAGCGATCAGTTTTCAATCACTTGAGCTACAGAAAAACTTGTTATTCCTCTAACATAGTGCGTTCAATCGAATTGAAATCTTTTTTTTTCACAGGCATGGGACACTTTTTTGGTGTGTCTGCTATTTTTCAGAATTATTGTGGTTGAGAAAGCAGGACGACTTTTAGCTTTTATGGCAAAGATCTTCCTTAAAAGGATGTATTTGGGAATCTGGAGTCTATGACAACTTTTGCACTTCTCATAGAAGCCTATCTACCCTGAAAGTTTGAACCTGAAAATGGGTGTTCTCTTAAGCCTCCCTATCCCCCCTCAAAAAAAAGTCACTTTTCGTCAAAATCAACGAAATTAAGATAAACACAGGAGAAGATAACCCGTCATCGAATCTCTCATAAATAACAAAAATTTTTGAATGTGTCCATCCTCTATTCGAAAAACAAGTTGTTTTTAAAAAAAAAACCGAAAATCTTTTTCGATTTTTCTTATTTTATAGGTTCTCGATTGCATCTTCAAGATTTCTCGAAGGAGCTTCATTGTAGCCAATAGTTTTTTTTTGTTTGAAAGAGCATGTAAAACTACAGTGCCTATGAGAGTCAGTTTTTCTTATTATTAAGCTTTGCTTTTATTATATATACAAACCTTTATATAATTAGAGCGTCATTTTTGGGGAGGTTTTTTGCATCATTGAACTTTCGATCCCTTTTTTCCCTTAAAAAGTAAGACTTTAAAAAACAAGGACTCTCATAGACACTGCATTCTGATATGCTCTTTCAAAGAAAAAAAAATTATTAAATGTATAGACTGAAGAAGCGCAGAGAAATTTTGGAGACGAAATTAGCTATTTTGGGATCCGTTTTCGGTTAGTATCTCCGTCAAACGTTATAATACAGGGCTGAGAATTTTACCATAGCCATGGTTCATCAGTTCCAACATATCCTGAAAATTTCATGCTATTTGAACATTCCTAGCCTGAGATCGAATTTTGAAGAGGAGGGGAGCCTTAAAGTACTCATAAAGACAAAATCTGTTAATCGCTTTCTCACCGAAGACTAGTGAATCATAGGTTATCGACCATGTTGATGCCTAATATAATCATAAGAGCTCTCCTTAGATTTTGTTCTAAGAAAATTGCTTGTAGTCATATTCAGAATCACAATTACAAATTTTTTTTTCATCACAGGAATTATGTTATTCAATATTTACCGGTACCAATAACTGATATCATACTAATGAAAACATCAGAAAAAGATCGTATGGAAAAATTACAATTCTTAATGACTAAAGTAATCAATTTTCTTTGTATTTTTTATTTCATAGTAATTTTTGTTTCTTATTTTCTAAGCTTGATTCTCTATGTATAAGAAATCAAGAACAAAATCAAAATATATCTTCAAGTGATTCTTTAAATGTAACAATAACAGCAAATTTAGCACGTGAAATAGCATATTCATGGGAATGTCAACAACAATTATTTGGTGATCAATTATCACTTGAATATATTCAATCATGTTCAAATCGATCAAATAATAAAAATGATGAAATAAAAACAATGCTAACACGACCAGCACATATCAATGAAGTATATATATATATATATGAATATTTTTAATCTTATAAAGAAAAAAAAACAATAAATATTATTATTTTGTTTTTTTTTTCAAAAGGTTTCATCTAAATTACATGATTTATATTTAACTGAAGAAGAACATTTAAAAGATGAATGGAATGATATATGTAAATTATTTGAACAAAAATTAATTAAAACACAGGAAAATTTATCAAAAAAATATTATCAATTATTTAAAGAACAATCATTAATTAATTATGATGATGTAAATAATAAAGAAAACAAAAAAAAAACAAAAGATTTTTTTTTTTTACATTTAGAAATTTCAAGAAGAAATTCGAACATATTTTTCAAATACAAATAATAATATTAATCAATTATTAAATAAAGAAATATCTGCTAGAATCACTGCATATACACGTGAATGTTATATTAATGTAGCAACATGTTTACAAAGAAGAGCTTATGATACAATGAATGAAATAGCATTTGATATGCATAAACAATTGGTAAGATCATTAAAGAAGTGTAAATCAATGTGCTCATCGACGATAGCTACAAAAGTCTCACGAAAAAACTTCTCTACGTGTTAATCGCCGATCGAGCTCATATTTTGCCCATAAATGAGTCTCATCAAGTCTTACATATGGACAAAATATGAGCTCGATTGGCGATTAACACTAGTGGCGTATCCAGGATTTTTCAGTATGCTGGATTTCAACTTCAGAGCATGGGACCCACGTGAAACTTATCGAGATATGATATTGAGTCCAAATGATGAGTTTTTATCGAAAGATTTTTGTAATGGGAGTTTGCGAAAAAAATTAGCATTTTCCTGAGCCTCACCAAGATTTTTCTTTTTCTATTGGTAGTACCTTGATTTTTAGAATTTAATAGTAAGCTACATCGAAATTCATCGACAGATTTCAAATTTTGTCTAAAAATATGCATCCGTTCGCCAGTTACAATGTTTTGAATTTTTTCTAAAATTTTAGGAGCATGCAGCAAATTTCCAAAACATTATAACTCATGAACGGATGCATATTTTTAAATGAAATTTGAAATCTGTCGATGAATTTTGATGTAGCTTACTATTAAATTCTAAAAATCAGGATACTACCAATAGAAAAAGAAAAATCTTGGTGAGGCTCAGGAAAATGCTAATTTTTTTCGCAAACTCCCATTACAAAAATCTTTTGATAAAAACTCATCATTTGGACCCAATATCATATCTCTATAAGTTTCATCTGGATCCCATGATCTGAAGGTGAAATCCAGCATACCGAAAAATCCTGGATACGCCACTAATTAACACTTGTAGAGGTTCTCTCGTGAGATGTCGACTGAAATTTTTGAATGAATTTTCTAAAGTTTCGTAATTTCGAGAAACTCTGAAAAAAAAAAGAAATTTCTTTCAGTCATTAAAAACTGTGATAATTCTAGGAATCGACTATACTTCGTACAGCAACTCCTTCAACACAAATGTCAACAGCAGATGGACAACAACATTCATCATCATCTAGTAAATCGATCATAATTTTACAAAAAAAAAATTTCATTAAAATCTTTCTTCTAAACTATAGCTATCGATCGTCTTGTTAATCGTGGTGCTCAAGTTGTTCATCGTCTTGCTCATAAACATCCTCATCCACAACCAGAATTAAATGATGAAATAACAAATAATCGACTATTAAAAAATGCTGATTCAAATGAATGTGTTACAAGTAATTATATTTAATGATTTAGAAATTTTTTTAATAATAATAATCAAAATATTAAATTTAGATCCTTCACCAAAAACTCCTAGATCATCATCGAAAGATAATCGTTTATTAACATCTTCATCAAATAAACCTCCGGCTCCACCATCACCAAAATCATCATCAACTGCAGAACGACATCGATCACTTTTACTTAATACAGATGAACAAGAATCTATTTCACCAGATCCTAGTCCAGTTTATAAGAATTTTCCTATTCTAAATCGAACAAGAAAACAAGAAATTCCATTAGAAGATGAAGCTGATCGTATTGAACATGATTTACTTGATTTAGTTGAAGAAGAACGACGAAAAGATCAACAAAGAAATACACCACCTATGGTACCTCCAAAAAAAAGACTTACACTACCAGCACAAGACAATCATCTTGATATTGAACTTGAACCAACAACAAAATTAGTTCATCTAGGTATTAAATAACGATAAAAAAAAACAAAATATCAAGCGCTTCTCTAACCATATTTCTTTTTTTTGTATTTGAATGTTGAAAGTGTCTTGAGATGTATTTCATCAGAAATGGCAAATTTCAAATTTTTCTCTGCAATACTTCAACAAGTTAAGATTTTTCTATAGAATAAAATTTCATTATTGACTATCAACAGAAGTTTTCCAACTGATAAATCGCTCTATGTGCATTATGTAGATTCAAATGAGCTATGAATACTCTGAAAAGAGTTTGTACTATTAGCTTATTGCCACAGGGACACTGTACTTTTTTGGAGTAATTATAGCTCATGCGGACCTATATAATTGCACATAGCCGTAGGGAGAAAAGTGAGACTTCAGTAAGGTAAAGTATCGTGCTTCAAAGCACTGAAGTTTCGTTTTTTTTCCTTATATACAGAACAAAAGAGCTCCTTCAATTAGAAACCTTAAGAGACTGAATCTAATGGTTTAAAACTAACGAGTTAAGTTCACATCTAATGCTGCACATTTTGGTGTTATGACTTCGCAAAATGAAAACACTTTTATTTTGAAATAAAGACCTCTGTTTAGAGGAGTACTAATGTTTAAAAAAGATTTGATAGGATCTCTAGAAAATGAGCTTTTAGAGGAAGTTTTTCTTTTCTTTTTTTTGAGTTCGAAGTTACTGAAACTTTCATCATTTCAGAAAAATGACTCCCTATAATGAATTAAACGTAGATACGTCTTGTTTTACTTGAAATGACTTATAAATTAAAATTGAAAAATTCATATATTATTACATTGTCTAATGAAATATTATTTTCAATTTATCTTTTATATTAAAGGTAAAGATCGACCTCGCCGTGGAAATGTACGACGACCAGTAAAACGATCAACAGATGGTGTTTCACATGATAGTTCATCTGATGGTGGTCTTGATAATGATGATAATAGTATTGAAGATATACCATCAACATCAACAACTGAAACATTAATTCAATCAAATATAAATCCTCCTAATATACCAAATGTTGATCCACCAACAACAGAATTACCACCGAAGTAAGTATACATGATGTGTTTGGTTTTTTTTTTTTTTTTGGTATTTTTTATTAGTTATACTTTAATAAGTTTTACGGAGAAAAAAGAAAATATCTTATCTATGATAGACGTTCACCCAAACCAAACAATCTAATATTGCAGTTAGTGAATAAATGCATGCATATGCATATTCTCTAATGAATTGCCTATTCAGAATTAAAGATAACCTAATAAACTTGCTGCATGTGTTGTTTTTTTTTAATTATTCAATCATATATATATATTGACAATTCATTAATCTTATTTTCTATATATAGAACATTAACAAAAATTAAATCAGGATTAAAAAGTTCAAAAACACCAACCGATGAAGCACTTCCACCACCTGTTCCTGTTAAAACTCAACAAACACGTTCTTCAGCTCCTCAACAACAAAACAGTACACCATTATTAACAACAAATATTACATCAAAATCAACACCAGTAATTAATAATGATACATCACAAATTATGAATTCTGATTCAATATGTGATCCAAATCAAATCAAACCTACAATGTCACTGAGTTCACAAACAGTATTATCAAATAAAGATGATCAAAAAGAAACATATAATTCATTAGAAAATATATCACCACAAGCACCGCCTGTATCAGCTCGAACAGGTAGAGCAGCAATTGGTACTCGTGTACTTCCAGTACTTGATCCGAGTGGAGAAGTATCACCAGTTAAATTAAGACATTTTCAATCAGAGAAAAAAGGTATATTTAATATAATTCATTATTATTCAATAAATAACTAACAAATATAATTAAGACTATAGGACTTTTGTATAATTTTTGTTATGATTATAATAATTGACAAAAGTATTTTGTAATATTGTAAATTCTTTTTTTTTAAATGAATTACCATTTATCTTTAGAAGATAGAGTTTATCGAGTCGAAAATTTTTCCACTCGAACCTTGTTGATCAAACTTTTTTCAAGCTCGAATAGAAATTTGTTTGAACCATACTTTGATAATCTCAGTCGAAAAGGAAACAGTATAGACTTCAAAGTATCTTAGATAAACAAAAAAACTGTGCATATAATGATCAAAATATTGTCCTCTCTTTGAAAATGGGATTAGAAATATGGAATCTAATTTTAGTTTTTTGACTAGTGAAGAAATTATTTGAACGTTCAAAAAAAACAATTAGATTGAATAGTGAATCAATGTCTCTCGCGTATAGAGAATGTAGAAGTCTAGTAGTATATTTTGTTGGGTAATTTCTACTATACAATCTGATATATTACTAACAGTGTCAACAGTTACTTTCGAATATCAATACTAAAAATCCTTTTTCATGATTCTCAAGAAAATTTCTAAGCGTACACTAAAAAAGAGCATACAATTCTAAATATAAGCAAAGATCACCATTAAAAGAAACGATTAATTCTGCTCAGTACTACTTTTTAACTTCTCGAAAACACTTGTAAAGTAGATAAAATACAAAACAAATATTTTATCTCAAAATTTTTAATCAATCTGATATATAATTAGTTTGTTAAGAGAAGAAATTCTATTCAGATTAATATCAAACTATTTCTAATTGTTTTATTTCTTCTACAGAAAGTTCAACAGGATTTGATGGTGCATCTGGTGCTGGAGATTCATCAGCATCGGCTGATAATGAAAAGTACAAACGTAAGAAATTGACTTTTCTAAGTAAAATTTTTCATCAATTAATTCAAATATATGTGCAGGTTTATCAGTAAAAGAACGAGCACGTATGTTAACTACACCTAATACTTCAATGGCATCAAGCGATAAAAAGACAACTACAACAACACCACCAACTAACACAACAGGTAAATAATATAATTGAAAGGTTTTGTTTTTCTTTTCTTCTATCAAAATTTTAACTTCCAGGTGTTTTAAATGAAAAATAATAATTCGAGTAAGATTTTGTGTCGCTTTATTTTAATGCTTCCACTTATAGGCTTATTTAAAATATCTTTTTTGGTTCTTTTTTTAAATAAATAATGATTTGTTTGTATTGATCTTACTATATAAATTTATTGTTTTTTTCTTTTTTAGTAACATCACCTTATACACCACGTACTCATCGACGATTAATTGAACAAGTGAATCTATTTTGTTGATTAGCACATTCCAAGTATTTTCTTTTCCCCGTTTTCTTTTTTGTCCGTATTATTTATTCTTGTTCTCAAATATAAATTCTCTCTATGCTTGTTGTTTAATATAATATTACATCTCTCATTAATCTTCGAAGAGTATTTCTTGTGTTAATTATTCATATATTTGATCAATTTTGCTTGTTCATTGGTGCTCATAATCATTTCTTTTTAGTTTTTCTCATGCTTAACTTCATATTTTTTAACATACCGACACGCTTCTTCTTCTTATTATGTAAAAATAGAAAACAACAAAAAAAAAAAAAAAGTTGACATATATTTGAACTATTCTCTATTTTTTACTTATTCGCTTATGTGTGTGTATTCTTTTGTTTGTTTGTTTTTTATGCATTATGATAACACGGAATAAACATAAAGAAGAAGAAAATAATGAATTATTATTATATTTTACAACAAGTTAATGAATGTATCAGAGGAAATTTTCGTACATATTGACGACGAAGAAATTTTGTATTGAGTATCGATATAAAGTATGGTTCAAGGCATTTCATAAAGATTAATCGTTCTACAACGAGTAGTTTATCACAACTCGAAGAAAACGATATTATTTTACATAAAGAATTCGTTTTTTTAATGAAAATTCATCTACAGATAATGGGAAATCATGTCAACGAATTAACTCAATAGGTAGAGAGGCAAATATATTACCAAAAAGAAGAACATGTCAATTATTTATGTGTGTATCCACAAGTATGATGTACAGTGTCATGAACAACAAGAAAATGTATACTTAGCGAAATTGATGGGATTGTAGAAGTAGAAAGACATCAAGGAAATCCTGATTCGCTTGTTTTTTTTGTTGTGAAATTTGAGATGATCTCTTTTTTTGTTATTGTTCATGTGTATGAAAGAAAATAAATAGTTGACTGTTTCATATAAAATAAAGGTTTGAAAATCATACTATGACTATGAAAGTATCTGTTGAATATCGATTAGTTCTGGTTGCAAAAAAATCATACGCGTCGAGGACATTAGCAGTATAGAACAAATTTCGAACGTAGTTATTCATTAGTGATTTAAAAATACCCACACCATTTTATTCAGTATAAAGGCCGAGGGACTGAGTCAACCATCACAGAGTTTGTTTATTGAAGCATGTAATATGTGCCCGTGTTCACTCCTCCGAGCTTTAACTCGTTTCTTTGGAATATTAAGTTTCTATAAAATACTGAATACTAATACCTATTTCAAAAAAGGAAAAGTGTGAGTATTTTTTGAATAACTTTTGATAGAAATTAGATAGAGAGGTGCGATTTTCATCATTTCAAAGAGGAGATGAAACTACATCAAATTGTCTATACCAGTTTTTTTTTGAACAAGTTTTCTCAGAGTCTATCCATCAAGTTTGTTAAATATAAAAGATTGTCTAACGTAAAAGTTTTACGATCTCAATTTTCACGAGTGCACTAGTATCGTTAACTGAAGATCTATAAAATATGTAAGTCCTATGTTATAAGTTTTAGCCAATCATGAGTTATGAATATTTTGCTGCATGTTATCAACAGATTTTTCATAGAAAATTGACCTTTTTTTTCTCATTTTTCAAAGAAAAAAAACCAACCTTATAAACTTATTCAAAAGCCTGAATCTTTTGAAAAAATTGGTGGGAGACTTTGAAAAAACTTGTCAGAAAAATCTGATATAGACTATTCGATGTAGTTTCATCTCCTCTTTTAAACGGTGTAAACCACATTTCTCTATCTAGGTTCTATCAAAAGTTATTCAAAAAATACTTACACATTTTCTTTTTTGAAATGATTATTATATAATACCAATATCATATTGATATTGTTACATTCCTTCTGTCTATTGTAGGTATGATATATAGTTATGATCTAAAAAACAATCAACATCGCTCACAACCTCTCATGTTTCCCATGTACACTGCAGTGATGCTCTGCATTCGGATATAGTAGACTTAAGTGTAAATGAAAAATCCAATGAAAATTCTTTATAATTATTTGAATCAATGTTTTACTTATCAAACGGATATGTACAAACATCAAATCTTTGATTGAACACTGACATATATATATGCAAAATAATTGGTTTGCAATTACCGGTTCAATTATCCTACTAAGACTTTTAATTTGTCATTTCTATGATATATATATATGTCCAACTGTATCTTCTTGATTGAGGGCAATTTTTCTGAATTGGAAGAAAAAAAATATTCGCAAAGTAGAATCAACGTAGAAAGATAAAAATGTACGCGTTATGGAAATCAGCAAACGTAGAAATACTAAAATAATTAATGCAAATAGCTCGATTCAAGAGAAGACATCATCTGTATCGAGTCAGTCTAATAGTAGAGACGGTGCGTGCCGTCGTGGTCATATTAGAGTATGAGTGAAGTGGATGTTCTATCTTCGTCGACAGCCGTACACCCACATTCACATCCTAAAATAACCTGGACGACATGCACTGTCTAGCACTAGAACAGTTCGATAGAGATGATATTTTCTCTTGAATCGAACTACCTGTACTAATTATCTTACTATTTCTATTTTTTGCTGATTTCCTTAATGCAGACATTTTTATCTCTCTACCTCGATTTTATTTTGCGGATAACTTCGAGAGTGTGGTCATTTTCCCTTAATTGGTCGAAGAAAGTGTCTGCAATCAAATTGTATCCATGTTCAACAACAAAACCATATATTTATATCAAAAATAGTAAGATATTGTAATTGTTGAGTTTCGCTGGTGATATATAACATGAATGATTTTTTCGCTAACACTCATTTATATATTTGATAAAATTCAAATATGTTCATTGTATTGAAAACATACTAAGAAAAAAAAACCCATTATCTTTTGTCTTAAGACATCAACAGTTCATCTTCTATTCGGTATATAAGCATGCATCTTTATATTATAAGATTATTTCGATTGATAAGAAAAAAGATTTGTTGTTTTTTTTTTTTTTATTTAATGAACTAAAGCTTTAGCAACAAGACTTGAAGTTGAAGATACTGTTGCTGGTCGAGGAATTTGTGGTGTAGGAAATGGTAAACCATAAAGCGCAAATGCAGTACGTGCTCGACCACCATCATTTCGACGTCGTGCAAACGGATATGATATAGAATCAGGTGTAAAATTACGAAATGCTCGTTGTGTTTTTGGTATTTTTCGATGAAAAATTGATGACGGTCGACGTATTGTTCGATGTAATAATTTTTGTTCTTGGCTTATTTTACCTTGTCGATCATATTCATGTAATTGATAATGATAATTACGTGATGGTGTTGGTGTACTAATTAAAAGTTCATAATTATCAAATGCTCTTTTTCTCTCATATTTTTTTGCTATTTTATATACACGATAACAATGAAATGAAATCATAAGAATATTTTTTGACATAAACAATATTATTGATGGTTTACTACATCGAACATTCGTAGCTAAGAATATTCGATAAAATAGAAAAAGACCATCATGAATAAATAAAGACTATTAGAAATAGAAACAAAAAGAAAAAAAGGAATATTACCTAATATAATTTTTCTTCAATATGACTTACTCGAAAAAGGGGACACATATTTTGATCTTTAAGAAAATTTATTTGTCTTGGTAATCTTCTTCTTCTAGGATAAAATGTTATAGTTTCATTAGAAGAGGATGTTAATCCATCTGTATCAATAAATGCCATTTCAAATAAGGCTATAGTAAGAAGAACAAGACCAATATACATCCAAACTCGTTCAATGATAACATCATGATATTGTAATGAATGTGAAACAGATAATAGATCAGCAACATTTACTAAAGTAACAACTAAAACAATTCCACTTTTTTCTATTGTCATCTGTTCATGACTTATAAGTAAACGACTTATAGATAAAACAACAAGTAAAGTTTCTTGTATAGCATCAAGCCAACGTTGTTCTTCCATATAGTACCATGCCTGAATAGAAAAACAAATCCTTCTAATTCTTATTTTCTATTTCGACGTTTTCAAATTACTTTATCATGACATTCAATATGTCCAATAGAAAGAATAAGTTGTGTAGTAGTTGGTAATACACGTCGTACACGTACTTCATCAGATGAAAATAATGTACTATTTGAAAGAGCATTTCGTTGTCGAATATGATTTGATGGTAGAGCTGCTCTAGAACTAAGTTTATTTTCTGCAAGACGATATAATTTTCTATTAGCTGTTTCAACATGAATTATCCATAATGATGGTGCTGAACATGTCAAATAGAATATGATACAAAAGGCAACTCTAAAACAAAACAAAACAAAAAAAAGCAAATGACAATTTTTAACAAAAACAAAACAAAAAAATGTATGTTTTTGTGCTTTATTCATACGTTTTAAATTCACGTCCATTTCGTAACCAAACAACAATGCCAGTTTCAACAAGTAAAAATCCCAGACCAACAAGTATAACCCAACAATATTGATTATCATTTGTATCGACAACACGCCAAGCACAAATTAGTCCATGAGCTATAAGAAACACTCGCACTAGGAGTGATTTAACTATAGTCAGGCCGTGCATTCATCCGGCCATCTGTCTTATTTATCTTCTAACACAATTTCTTTTGATATGAATGAAAATACAAAACAAGTAACATAAAGAACAGTTAGAATGACATAGTTTCGTCAACAAATAATTAATACCGACTAAGCCTTTCTTTTTTATCTTTCCGTTGGTGATTTGAACAATCCCGTTCAATACTATGTAGTTTATATCTATATAATCGTCAATGTAGGTATGTCTTCTTTTTCTTAGGTCAACATTTATTGCATCAAATATGCTTATCATGTACACATCATCAGTTAAAGTTAATACGAAAATAAACTATAACAAAACGATCATTGTAAACTTGTTTGTAGCAACTTTGTTTAGTTGTTATTACGTATATGTATAAAGTGTCAGAATGAATAAGAAAATAGTGTGTTTATTTATTTTTCATTGATTCAATATATATACCTAACATGTATAACAATATAAAAAAAAAAAAAAAACAGATGTGTTTTGTCAATGATTGGCGTGTTTACAATTTGTTAGGACACATATTTTTTTAGGGTCATGTCTGTGTTAGTTCAATGAAAAATAGCTTTTTTTTTTGTTTTATTGGAAACTATTATTTCTGTGTGTGTGTGTGTGTGTGTTTGTTATGATAACAACAATAGTAATATGCAAGAAAAAAAAATAGTGGCTGGTGATAAAAATATAAATCGAAAGAAGAAATTCTTCTTATTGCATATAAATAAATAGTTATAAATTAAAGTTTAACAACTTGCTCCTTATTTAATGATAATTCAACCATACGAATTGATATATTAGATTTTTGTGATATTCTACTTGAAGGTGGTTCCGATTCGAATACATTATCACTTTCATATGTATCATTTGCCATACCTAAATCAGAACTTAAATCATCATCATCATCATCATCAATATCACTATCTAAATCATTGAAAGTTTTTAAATAGTGTACAACTTTTTTTGCATTAAATTGTGTTGCTAAATGAATTGGTGTACATTCATTTGCATCACGAGCATATGGATCAGCACCTTTTTGTATTAAATAATGAACAAGTTCATAATCATCAGCTGGACCACATGCAATATGTAATGGTGTCCAACCATTTTTATCTTTTCCTCTTAAACTAACACCTTTTTCTAAAAGATATTTCACAAGTGCAATATCTCCATTATCACATGCAATATGTAATAATGAACGACTATCTCCATCGGTCATATGTATATTAGCACCATTAGCTAAAAGTAATTCCAAAATATCTATAAAAAAAGAAAAATAAAATAACAAAATATTGTTTTTTTTTTTTTGAATTTAAATAAAAATTAACCTCGTCTTTTTAATTGAACAGCAGCATGAAGTAATGTCCAACCTGATTTATCTTTTTTATTAATATTGACATGTTTATTAATTAACATAGTCATTTTTTTTAAACAATCATTACCACTACCTACAACAAACATCATTGGTGTTGCACCAGTTTTATCTTCAATGTCAGGTTCATTGACATAATCAAGTAATATTTCAAGTATTTCCGTATTTTCAGCCCAAGCAGCAAAATGTATTGGTGTTCGTTTCATTGAATCAACAGGTCGTCGAATATAATCTTCAACATCTTTATGATTTAATTGAGTAAGTATAGTACGTAAATCATCAATATTATTATCATCAATTGCTTTTATTATTTTACTACATTTAGCAATATCTCGTACTGTTCCTTGTATTAAACCATGATATACATCTGAGACCAGTTCACGTGCTCGTTTAAATAACATCAACAGTTCACTGGTATGACGTTTACTAAACAAAAAAAAAAAAAAAAAACTAGTCATAAATAAAATCGGAACGAATAACGAAATGCTATGCTTCAATGATTTGCCAATACTGACATACACAAATATATATGTAGGCTACGAGAGAAAAAAAAATAATAAATAAAAAAAAAAAAAAGAACGTATATCGATGTTTTATTATAAGGCATACTTTCTTTTTCTTTTTTTTTCCTATCTATCGTCATCCGATGAATCGACAACACTCATAATATTAATTGATTTTACAAGGAAAAAAATATCTTTATACGAATTCTCAGAGTATAATGAAGTTTTTCTTTTGCTATTTCAAAATACGTCATATAGACGTCCAAAAAACAAAAACATATGACATAAACTATATGAAATATTCATTAAGATATTTTGTGAATATCTAGTCAAGTATATTAATCGATACATTGAATAAGTTTTACAAACATAATTGATAATTCGAATATGTAATTTTTGTTTTTAATAAAATTTTATGAGAAATAATGATAAGTTTCATTTTTAATATAAATCTATGTCTTGAAAAACATATTCTTGAACATAATAAATCTTATTTACTCAATAAATTTCTGTACTCATTAATTATCTAGCTTAAAATTACGACAATTAATACTTTGAACATATCATCCATGAAGTTCAAATAATTTCAATCGATTAATATAAACTTCAATAACAAAGAAAATCCAATGATGTCATTAATAAAACCATTGAGGATACAATAAATATTATTTCTATTTTTTGATATTTTATTGTGAGTTGAGTAAAGAAAAACTTCTATTAAAACAAAATTTATAACAATGATATGTCTTTATTTGACAAATATTTTCCTACTTCATGGTACAAATAAATGTAAAATATGAATTTAATTTATGCATATTTTTCTTATTACATTCGATAAAAAAATAATCATTAAAAACTTTATCTAGAATAAGAAACGAGCTTCAATTTAATACTTGTACATCAAAAGTACTTTGAATATTTTCTATTGCAATAATAATAAAATACTTTAAAATTAAATAAAAAGTACATATTAATATAGTATTACTTAATTATATAAGATGAACTTTTGATTAGAAAATATTATCTCGATTATTTTTGATTTTTTTATAAATTGAATTTCATGACTTCAAGTATTTAATATATTTAATTTGATAAATAATTCTATTTTCTTTTCGTCGTCTCCATTTTGTTTGACAATGCTTGAAGAATACAAAGTTTTTCTTCAAATATTTTCTTTTATTATCAATGTCATTTTTGTTGTAAAGAGGACATTGACAACCACGTTAAAATAATGTTAATAACCTTCTTTTTCGATTTGTTTTTAATACAAATCACTTTTACAACTATTGAAAGTATCACATATTCATGTTGGACAAATTCAACATGTGGTTGTTCATTAAATGCACCTATTTTAACGAAAATTATTGGTGGTGAAGAAGCTACAATGAATAGTTGGGGTTGGGCTGTATCTATACGTTTTCGAAATAATCATATATGTGGTGGATCATTAATATCATCAGAATTAGTTTTAACTGCTGCACATTGTCTTGTTTCAAAAAAGACATTATCAAGTCTTAGTGTTACAGCTGGTTCACATTATTTATCTATTATTAATCAACAACGATCTATATCAGAAATTTCTATTCATCAAAATTTTAATACAATAACATATATTAATGATATAGCTATAATACGTTTATCATCACCGTTTGATATGAATGATCGTTCATTAGCTGTAATTTGTTTACCACCACCAATACTTGAATATCCACCAAATGATACTATAGTTATTGCTATTGGTTGGGGTGTGTTGTCAATGGTAGAAAAAATTTCATCAGATACATTACAACAAGTGACATTGAAAACTGTTCCTAATACGATTTCGACATGTTTAGTATTAATTCATAATGAAAATGGTCAGTTTTGTGCTGGTGTTCAAGGTGGTGGAAAAGGTATGTAAAAACAAAAATATTAATTTTAATATACGATTAGTTGTTTTGTTAAATTAGATACATGTCAAGGTGATAGTGGTGGTCCATTAATGATGTATTCTAATCAACAATGGTATATAGTTGGTATTACAAGTTATGGAAATGGATGTGGTTTACCTTTTTCTCCTGGTGTTTATACACGAGTATCAATGTACGAAAAAGATATTTCTTGTTTTTTAAAAAATGACACATCATGTATAAAGAAAAAATTTATTGTTCGAAACTCAGTTTCATCAATGTTTACATTTTTCTATATGAATAATTTTATCATTCGTTTGTTTTTAGTGATAATTCACTTTTTGTTTTGGTAAGAAATAAAAACTATGAGTGATTTATTTTTTTAATTATAAATCTATTCTTAGATATGTTAATTTCATACATATATATATATGTCGGAGTTGCCTTTAAAATTGAAGAGACAACTGAGATGAGCTAGTTGCCTTTTCAATCTTAAAGTTAACTAGTTGACTTTTAAAGGCAACTAAATTTTATAGTCAACTCCGACATATATATTATGAATGATGAAGATAAGTCAAACAAGGAAATAGAATCTTATGAATCTTTTCGAGATTGAGAACAATCAATGGCTGCTTAATTAATGCGTATGCTAGGAAGTAAAATAGAAATACGAAATGAAAATGCAAGTTTTTGGAACAAAAATAAAGATGTTATGAGTGTGGATGTATGACTGTAGTAATTTAGAAAAGGCAAGACTTTAGTGATCCGAACCTATCACAAAACTTAAGTGAATCTATTAAGGGTATGTGCTAGTACGACATTAGAAATGATAAAGCAAAAGAATGTATATAAATTCGAGACGGGCGACTTGTGATTTACTGTCAGAAACTTCGAAGATATCTGTTTCTTGTGATTATTAGCAGATGTAATTTCTATCAGCGGCATCTATATGAAATATGGACATTGAATGATCTCTTGCATATTTTTATATGATATAGTCTAGAACTGAAAAATAAATATAACTATTATATAATCATTAGGAACATTCGCATATGCTTGTTATTCTATCAAGAACCACTTCGATGAAAATTATAGAAAGCAGCACAAGCAACCAGTTTGTAGTATAAAATACATGTTTAGAAAAATTATAACGAAGGTAGAGCCTGCTAACTAAGTGCAAGATCTAGCAGCATACTATATTGAAATCTTTGTGATCTTAGATATGAAAAGATACATTCTAAAATATTCGTTTGAAGACGATGATTCTTTTTCCGAGAAATATTATCAGCCTCATCCATATTCTAACTCATTGAATCCTAGACTGATTGTTTCAAATATGAAAGGATAACCAATAATCATCAGTAATCAGAGTTATTATCTAACCTTAGAAATATCTTTTCCTAGGCAACATTAAATTTACACAGAATTCGTTTTTAAGTAGATATATAGCTATGAAATGATTTTCCTTTTATTTAAAAAATAAATTCCTATTTTCATTTGCATTGAGAAAAAACAGCAGGCACTTGCTTTTTTTTCTTTTAACAAAACAGATATTGTAGAGTATGCACGAATAGCTTGTTCTGCATCGATATCAGCAAATAATTTTCGAAATTGTTTTTATAAATAAATAAAGCAATATTTTAAGATTTTTTTTTAAGTATTTAATTACGAGAGAAGACAGTTACTATTCTATTATACTAATAGGATTAAATAAGTTAAAATATCCATCATCTTTCTTTTTTATTTGAACATAACTCAGAAAACTATATTTTTATACTTCACATATCATGAATGAGCCATATTGAATCCGAAGACAAATAAAGATCGATTAAAATACTACTACTCAAAAATTGTAAGCTTACAAACTCTTTCGTTTTCTTTTTGGTCGAAGCTTACTAAGAAAAACTAGATTTCAAATGAATATAATCTCGATTAATCAACAAATTTTAGAATATTCTGATAAATCGTAATTAATGGGTAATTATTTAGATAATTGTGATTAATCAGCGATTTTATAACCAACTTCCATAGTGAGCCAAAATTTATTAAAAAGTATTTTTCTCTTTTATTTGGATCAATATCAACACCAATGAGCCATCTAAATAGTCTTTTTATCTGTTTTATTTTAGGTTAATTCTCACAACAACATTAATAGTTAAATTGAACAATCATTTGACTGCATTGTATATATATACAAACATTTTAGCTTAGGTTGCCTTTAAACGAGGAATATGAGTCGATACTCTCACGAGCTTGAAAGGAGCATTAAACATACTGACTAGCTAGGAATGTCAGGGTTCTCGTTTCTTTGAGCTTTGTTCCTGAGCAACGGAAACTCACTTGACAATTCGTTTCCATACATTTTCGAGCATTTGGAGATGATGATAAATATCTATTCTTTCAATTTGTATCAAATCACGATAGATTCTTGGGTTCTTAGAAATGAAATCTAAAGACGCGAGAACTCACATTAGGCTTTTAGGAATGTGATACTCGGTGTAGGTATCCATATATACGAGCAGGAATTTGAAACTGACACCCCTATTGTTGGCCAGTGTTCACTGAAAACTTGGGAAGACATGTCACAATTCGAAATAATGTTCTCGAATATTCGAGAAAAAAATACATCAAACTACTATGTTAGAAAAGCAGATCCATGATACTGCAATGTCACATGTGTCGCGAACAAAGTTTGACTACAAAATGAATTGAGTGTGGCTGAATGGGATGGAGGTGAGAGTCGATGTTTGTCGATGTGAATCTTTCCTTCACTCACAATTTCACATATCCACATGTATCTTTGTGAGACCTGTAGGAAAACATATTTCAACGACAAGGTACTCAAGAAAATCATTGTAGAATACCAGCTAGTCACAGTAATAGCAAGAAATTATTACTGATCAGTAGAAGCTTTGGAAAACATAAGAATTCCCTAACAATAGTTCGATGCATCAGTGCACACATCTAGCCAGAGAAAATACATGCACTCTCGTATGTTCAGCATTATGTGACTTTTTCAATGTGCAACAATAATAAAAGAATCTATTGTCATACTATAACTAGAGCGTACAATCATTCTTCAATGTCTTTCTACTTGTTGATCCTATTTGTGATAGTGCATGAAAACATAATATTACAGAGTAAACATATGATTATTTACCAACTCGTATTTGCAAAAAAGATCTACAGAACGTCTCAAAAGTCCGGCGTGAAATGAAACTTCAATAACTCTTAAATGATTCAAGCAATTCATATGAGATTTTCATCATTTCATATAATTTCATCCATATGTATTATATCAGACGATTTCCACTAACCTGAACACATAAAACTATGTATTTCGAAGCATATATATAGCAAACAAAATGCACAACGCTTATTTTGAGATCATGGTGATGCCATCATCGATTGCTATTTATATATCAATTTTGTATTTTGCACTGAAATTTATATAAAAGTCTTTGTTGATATGCAAATAAGAATTGATAATAAGATTATTATGATCTAAGAACAAATTTGATACACTGGTTCTCTGAAAATTCTTTGAAGTATATGATTTCATGATATAGAGTAGATGCTGATGATTTGAAAGAAAAGCTATGCATGAATTCATATGACATAAAACTTTCGAGAATATCCTACGAAATAATGAAAAGTTCATGTAAATCGCTTAGATCATTTATGAGTTATTGCAGTGTTATTTCACGCCTGACTTTTGATACAATCGATATTTTTAATATTTGAAAACACATTATGTGTCCAATATAAGCTTGCCGTCAAAATGTTAAAGTCACGACCATGTTCATACAGTCAATTTTTTTTTAGAAAATGATAAATATATATACTGCTCTACATTTTGTAGTATTGTTTCAACAATTTAACATATCATTGTCAACAGACTCTGAAAAAAGAGTTATTGGAGGAAAAAAAACAGCATATTCATAATTGGTATGGTCAATTACTTCCGTCTCTGTTGAGATTTCAAAAGGTACCGTCGCACTCAAACAAAAAGCTACGAAAATCAATCGAAAAGAACAGAATACAATTGAAACGAGCTAGAAAAACCAGTATTTCAGGTGCGAGTGGTGTTTTTTCACCGACAGCCCCATCCCCCTTGAAAAAATCACCATTCAATTCAGCATGAAATTCTGCACCTAACCCAACTGGATTGAGAGCCACCTCAGGTGCTGTCGCGAATCCGAACAGGCATTACCTTGGAAATCAGCTTCAAAAACCAGTATTTGGGATATAAGTGGCTTGTTTTGACCGACAACCACCCTTGAATATAGTACCATTCGATTAAGCATGAAATTCTACACTAAACTCAACTGGAGTGAGACGTAACTCAGGTGGTATAATGAATCCGGATACGCGTAGCCTGGAAAATCATCTTGACAAAGCAATATTGAGGGTACAAAGCGGACACTATGATTGGCAACTCCCTTTGAAAATAGTACCGTTTGACTCAGCATAAAATATTGAACCTAACTCAACTGGAGTGAGATTGAACTCAGATGGTATAATGAATCTGGACAGGGAATATCTCGGAAATGACCTCGACAAAGCAGTATTGAGGATACAAGGGAGATGTTTTGACCGATAACCACCCTTGGAAATATCACCATTTGATTCAGCATGAAATTCTGCACCTAATTCAACTGGATTGAGAGCCAACTCAGCTTTTATAGCGAATCCGAATAAAAAATAACGAATATGGTACTAACTTTACCGACGTATAGTAAAAGGAAACAAAAAAAGTAAATCACACTATGTGCGTATTTCAATTTCTATATTTATTCATTGATTTATTTGACCTTGAGTCAATTTTATTTACTGATTTATCACTGACTGATTATTTAAATAATTGACTGATCATTTGTTCAATTTACTGATTATATAATTATTTAATTTACTGACCAAATATTTTCTTTGCTTAATAAAAATGTGTAAGATTGGTTATTCGTTTGTTGTTGAAATTGTAAACCTTTTCAAAAGTCTATTTAATTTTGTCTCAATATTAACTTTTGCGTGACACATATCCATGCATTTATAGCATTAAATAATCAATGCATGACGTTTATACAAGCTATTTAGAGCTAGATATCACAGGAAGAGAATTCTCGTCACATGTGTTCAAAAGGTTAACAAAATATTCTCTGGATTGTACATTTTACTTGATCTTCTTGATTAACTTCTAATAATTACTTTGGTTATTATACAAATATAAATCAATATAATACACTTCATTAATTGACATTAGAAATTTTCATTCTTTTTGGTTTAATAATATTTTCTTTGAAATAATAAAATTAGAATTCGATTCAATATTTATTCGTATTTTATTGAGAAAAATATTCATGTATGCAAAAATATATATGGAACAATGGTGATTAAATTTTTAACACATGAAATAAATATATTAAATAAAAGTTGAAAGACAATTTCCAATTAATTTTAATCATTAATAAATGAAAATTAGTGAAGTAATCGAAATTAAAATTATATGAACAGTAAACGATAGATTATTTGCATTATTAATTGTGTCATTTATCCATGATTGATAAGCTGCAACTCGTGTATAAATTCCAGGAAGAGCAACTCTTGCACATCCAATACCACTTGAAGTTATTCCAACTTGTTCCCAAACATTATTGGAAGTAAACATTAATAATGGACCTCCACTATCACCTTGACATGTATCTAAAAGAAACCAAAATTATCATACAACATAAATAAAATTTATAAAAATTTACCTTTACCACCACTAGGCACTATTCCAGCACAAAATTGTTTAGATGAATCACCAATGTTGACATTTCCACAATAAATACTATTTGCAGCTATTGATTTAATTGTTACTTGTTGAAGTATGGAAGACACTACACCACTCCCTTCAGACGTATAACCCCAACCGATAGCAACAAGCTACAAATAAAAAATCAACGTCAACTTATACATAAATAAATCAAATTAATATCTGTAACATTACATCAGTATTAACTGGTGGATACTCTGTAGTAGCAAGTACACTCGATGACACATTAGGTAAACAAACAAGATCAACATCAGTTTGATCAAGATTTAATGTAGATGACAATTTAAGTATAGAAATATCATTGACATAATTAACTG